ATATTGCATGCCTAACATGATGCAGTTTAAAAATGTACAAATATTAAACAGCTAGGAGGCACTCAACCATTATGCTACCACACGATGGAAATATTAGAATCCGCAACCCTACACAATGCTACCGTGCCGCATAGCGCAGATAAAATTAAGAACAACTCTGGCCTAGAAATCACCTTAACAGACACCTCATTCAAATTGGTGCGTAAACCACTGTATTGCATCATTCATGTTACGAGAGAGTTCACACGAATAATAGAAGGGTTTAAACTGGGGACAAGCAGCCAAAATACTTCACCTGTGGGCGACTCACTTGCATTGTCTTGATACGCTCAAAGCTTATTTTCTTTAAGAAAAATTCTCACTAGCAAATCTAGCAAAACCCCGAAACAAAATTGCATTTATGAATCAGACAATCCTGCATGGCGTTGACCTGACAGAATTCATCTGGAGGTAACATCGATAACTTATCGCTTAACCATACTGCGACCTCTTAATTAACAATGCTACATCAAAGTTCAGTTGCTTGCAAACTTACAAATAACCATTCAAATTAAACGGGACATCTAGACTGTTAAATATTGGTGCAGCAATTCCAATGACAAAACACACTAATGCACATTGCTACCATAAAATACATCAACGTATTTACATATTTCCACTATGCTATATTTAACAAGGTCCTGCGTAGATTATGCCATATTGTGTGAGATAACTTAATCAGCTCGGCGTGGAGGCGACGTCATGTGACCGGGGGTGCTACTTCCGGCTGCGTGGCGTCACGCGGACATTGAATGACGCGCTGGGGCCTGAGAGCCAATCCGTTTACGAGTTTTCCGTCTCCATTGCAGCGCCACGGAACGGACCAACGGGAGAACAGGAAGACCAGGACAAGGATATATAATGCCCCATGTTTTCCCCCATACAACTAACCAGACAGCAGTGCTCTAGGCATTGTTCTTACCATGGGTCCGGAATCTACAAATGGTGGCAACGGTGGGACGTCGAAAGTATTTTCGAAGAACTCGGATAAATATCTGGTCAAGCTTGGAAATCGTTGCTATCGTCCCGGAGAAGATGTCCTGGATTATACGGCAGAAGTGTACAGTCTGGTGAAGAAGGCGTACGAGGAGATAGGCCTGGAGGCGATGGCAGTATCTCATATTCTGAGGGGGCTGCCTAAAGACGCATATAAGCGTCATGTAAGGCTGTTAAATCGTCCTCTGGCCGAGGTGGAGAAGGCTCTTTGCGAGGACACCGCGTTGAAAGATTGTGCCCCGTTCTCTTCGTCGGCACAGGCTCAGCCTAACCCTCGTTGGCACCATCAACAAAGAAGGGGATTTCAAGCACCACGCTTTGGGCGATCCGGCGGCTCTGCAGTGACCAAACCTCGTGATGGTCCCGGTCTCGGTAAGTCCCCTGGTTCGCATGTTTCATGCCCTCCCATTCATGCGTCATGTGCCGATACCCGACCCTTCATATCTATAGGTGTATGCAGTAGGTTAATGCACTTCCTAGTTGAAACGGGTGCCGGATGCCCGTTAGTCAACCCAAAGACGTTCGAAACACTGAGTGGCGTCGTCAATTAGTCCTAAGGCCGCGAACGGTACTGTGATTTGTAGTAGGAGGCGTGTTGATGTCTCACTCACTATTGCGGGTAGTCTGTACCAGCATACCTTATATTTATACCAGGATATGCCATGCGATGGTATATCGGGGTCGGACTTCCTCGACAGGTACGCGGGCGAATATAGTCGGCCACAGCGTTGCTTACGCCCAGGGTCTCATGAAATACCGGTAGTTTATGAACAGAGTAATGGTGTCATATTGGTGATCACTAGTAAGCACACAAGCGCACGGCGAGGGGCCTGGCCTGACTCATCTTCGCAAGTTGGTCCGAAAATATGCGGATATCTTCGAATAAGAGGGGGGCAGAGACTGGTTGAATGTTACCCTGCATGACAATCACGCGACAGACGCACGTCCTATTCGACAACGACCGCGATGGATACCTGTGGCATATCAGCAGGCAGTTGAGGAGGCCATCTCAGATGTTACGAAAGAAAATCATCAAATCATCACCTTCTCCATGGGCATCACCCATCGTCGTCATCAAAAAGGAGGACGGTGCCATTAGGTTACGTGTAGACTATCGGAAACTTAACGAAGTCACAGTAAACGATAGCTTTCCTATTACACGAATGGATGTCACGCTCCAAACCTTATGAGGGTCAACGTCATTTTCTACCCCGGATCTTAAATCGGATTACTGGCAAGTTGAGATCAATCCAACCCATCGAGAATAGACGGCGTTGGAAATACCATCGGTACTATACGAATTCGAGATTATGCCCTTCGACCTTGCTAACGCCCCGGCAACGTTCCAACGATTAATGAACACAGTCCTCCATGGCTTATTGCCGCAGGAGTGCTTGGTTTATATGTACGACGTGATCGTCCACGCAAAGAATATCAAGCAACACGTTAGGTTACGTAATGTCCTTGAACGTCTTCGTGGGGCGGGACTTAAACTTAACCCGGAGAAATGCACGCTATTCACGTTGTCTCTAAGAGAGTTGTAAGAACGGATCCGGACAAAACGGAGAAGGTTAGGACATGGCCGACACCAACCAATGTGGAACACCTACGGAGTTGTCTAGGACTAGCAACATATTACCGTAGGTTTGCATAGGGGTTCGCCCTTATTGCATTACTACTGCACAAACTTACAGAGAATGGGCGATCTTGGGAATGGAAGGAGCAGTGTAAGCAGGCGTTCTGCGACCTCAAAGCCCGTCTGGTAGCAGCTCCAGTCCTTGCTTTTCAGGACATGGGAAAAGAGCGTCCTCCGTTTACTTGGGACACGAACGCGTCAAACGGGGCAATTGGAGCTGTACTTTCACAGGTCCAACTCGATGGCTCAGAACACCCGACATCATTTGGCAGCAGAGCCTTATCGAACGCAATTATTGCACTACCAAACGCGAAATGCTGGCCTTAGTTTTTCTTAGAGCACTATAAGCACTATCTTTTGGGTAACGAGATTGTGGTACGTACGGACCGTCAAGCTCTGAGGTGGTTGCATAACTTTAAGGAACCTTCGGTCATTGTTGCGAGATGGCTGGAGGTGCTGACCAATTCAACTATGGAGTTGAGTATCGCCCTGGGAAAAAGCATGAAAGCGCGGATGCCTTGTCTAGCATTCCAGAACATACTGCAGACGTAGCCGCCATTTCCATGGAACAAACTACGGTTGAGAATTGGGGGACGGCTTAATCGGAAGATTCCTACATGAGCGTCATATACGATAGGCAGCTCACGGGCTCTACCAAGCCTACAGACAGATGGCAGGAAGCAGCCAAGAAGCACGAGTGCTTTGGTCTGCTTGGATTAATCTTAGCTTTAGGGATGGTGTCCTATACTATAAGTTTAGACCATCTTGCCCTTTGCGGGTGGTAGTACCAAGGTCCGCTATTGAGCAAATCATGACTGAGCTGCATGCTAGTTTGGGTCACCTGGGTAGACGATATTAGTGGCCAGCCATGCGTGGCGACATAAATGATATTTGTGCGAGTTGCCACCGCTGTGGTGAGGTCAAGTCTCCACCTCATGCGGCCAGGGCACCACTACAACCCATGACCGCGGGGTTCCCAAAGGAACTTGTTGTCTTAGACCTTACGGGGACCCTCCCACAAACGGTTAGTGGTAAGCGGTACATTTTAGTTATGGTTGACCACTTGACGAAGTGGGCAAGCGCTCTACCCCCCCGCAAGGCAGACACTGTGTCTGTAGCAAAAGGATTCATGCCAGGATGGGTAGCTGACCATGGGGTGCCCTGCCAAATTCATACGGATAGAGGTAGCCAGTTTGAAAGTTTGTTGCTTTTGGAATTGCGCGATTTGCTAGGCATTCACTGAAGTCGCACTACAGCATATCACCCCTAAGGGAGTGGCCAAGTTGAACGAATTAACAGGACGCTTAAGATGCTTATCAGACTGCATCTCGACAAATATGCGTTAAATCAGTGGGACGACGCCTTGCCAGGTTGCCTACTATCATATAAGTCGGCTGTCCACTCCACTGGTCTAGCCCCAGCAGTAATGACCTTTGGACATGAGTTGCGGCTGCCGGTCGATGTCGTGGCATCCCTACCTCGAGAGCCGGATTACGTAGGACCTTCCGAATATGTTGATGAAGTGCGACGCCAACTGCGTCGATCTTTCGACTCAGCCCGGTCACAGCTAGCCCTAGCTCACAAGCGACAGAAGGACTATTATGGTAAACGGGCCCATGGTACCCCTGTCGAGGAAGGCGACCTAGTGTGGATGGCTACGACGAATGCAGTGGGCGAAGGCAGGAAGTTGCAACATAGGTGGGAAGGACCATATGTGGTCGATGCGGTCCTTAGTGAAGCGACGTGTGTAATTCATAATCTCGACGATAGTCCAGGTCAAGGGTTCACTGTTCACTTTAACAAGCTGAAACCCTATATTCCGTCGATGGAGGAAGCTGATGACGAATCTCTAATGTGCTGTGGACCACCTCCAGTAGACCACACGGTTGGGATAGCGGCAGTGGTAGTAGATGAGAAGCTAGGGACAGCTTCGGTCTAAGGGGGGGGGCAGTGTAGCGGAGTGGCAGATAGCACCTATATTGGCGCTAATCCATTGGTCGAAGGTGAGAAGCACGCCACGGTGGCAACGTCATGTAACCGGGGGTGCTACTTCCGGCTGCGTGGCGTCACGCGGGCATTGAATGACGCGCTGGGGCCTGAGAGCCAATCCGCTCACGAATTTTCCGTCTCCATTGCAGCGCCGCGGAACGGACCAACGGGAGAACAGGAAGACCAGGACAAGGATATATAAAGCCCCTGTTTTCCCCCATACAACTAACCAAACTGTAGCGCTCTCTGCATCCAATAAAGTTGTTTGTGTTACCTCTCAGCCCTGTTCTCACCATAAACCCGAAATATACGCAAGTGTGAAGATATGAGTTGTCGCACTGACGCTTGCGCAACCTTGAGCGACTTGATCAAATCAATCGACCACTTAAAGCGATTCTTGTGAAGAACCCTTTGTTAAAAATTAATTCAAATTATTACCTTGAATTGTAAGCATGTTTTTTTAAAAAAAATATTGTATTTGTAAATAATGAGGAGTTGCGAGAAACCATGCATTTTTTGTCATCTTGACATGTTATCGAACCTAGCACGTGACCTGGTTATGTGTCTAACATGACTTCACGAAAGTCTTACTCACCATGCCCTTTACAGTCAGGGGTAAATTAATGATACGTGAAATTGAACTGTTATTCTTTAAGGTGGTCCGTGAATATAAGTATATTAAAATACGGTAATAAATATATACAAACTGAGTGTTTGTCATTGAATTTTTTTAAGATATTAAACCTTTGAATTAGCCAGGAGGACGAATAACAATAATAATTTACGGCTGATACTGCATTTTACTTTTAGTGTTTTTAGCATCGCATTCTATTCCCCATATTATACTTTTAATTTCTAGCCAATATTAAGGAATGATTTAATTGGTATGTTGCCTAGACTATGTGATTTGTAGTTGTCGTCAGAAATCCGACTAGATAAAAACACTCCAAATTTATTGAAGCTGATCAGGTTAGGTACTTCAAATACACTTAGAAAATTAGCATTATTCACTAACTACCCGGCACATAATGCGAAACGGTTGAGAATTTTGCCTGTCCCACACCTGACATTGCACCTCACTTACGCCTAGGGTCACAAAAATAAAATTTTATTTGGCCGCACCTGTGATCAAGTCTTGTATCAGTTTATCATGCATGCATATTTACTAAAGTCCCTGCCTCCACAATGTTGCAAAATTAAGATGTTTTCAAATTGTTTCACCGTTGCATAGTAATTGTGGAATTAAATAATCGCTTCCATTTTCACTTATAACCACTATAAATGTGAGCGGACAATGTTAGTAAGTTCATTGTGAAGACATCCAGGCGTGCATTCCAGCAATGTTTGTATTTTAGGATACAACAAATTAGCAGGAAACATCGTCACCGTGCATTATTAGCATTCAAATGCTGTGATGCACACTGCTAGCATATAATGCATCAGCATATTTACACAGCAGAATGCTTAAGTTGTCAGTTATCACTTGATTTTACTGACATTTAATCAATGATAAATTCTTATTTAGCATCTACTACTGGGCTTACAACAACTCTGCAGGACATGTTTACTGACATCTCATATTTACTAACATATACACCGAATACTGCCACAAATGGCACTTGCTCTCCCGATCAAAATTGAAGCACAGGAATGTATAATTTGCTGAAATGATTTGCGTGGTGTTTGCAGGCAATCATTTTACGTCTTTAAAGTACAAAATGCGAAAAGCACAATGCTTATCGCTGTTGCGTGGCAATTTTTTTTGACTTGGCTTTGCTTTTATACCAAATCGACTTTTGTTTGAACTAAAAGTGTGATATACATATGTGCTGTTTGCAAAGAATGCCCCTGGGTCAAAAATTATCACAAAGCTGATTGATGCTTTTTACAAGCCATAACTAGACTGTTTTTATTTTTTAATTACTTTGTAAGCCTAATGGGAAGTATCAGCATATTTATTTAAGGACAATTTACGTTATGCTTATGCCTTATTTTTCACATCTATTTTTGTGCCTAATCAAAAAACAATTGTATTCATAAATAACAACGAATTTTGTGAAAATTTATTCTGACATAGAGCAACCGAATTATACCACAATTTGTGGGTTGTTGACAGTCATGTTAACCGTACGAATATTTGCTAAACTATGCATTCCCTGTAATCATGCCTTTGCTACCTTTTTAAGATGGTCAACGCGTAAAATTCTATAATTATTCAGTCTTCAAAAACAAACAAAATTGCGAATGTCGAAAAATTTATTGCAGACGTCACACAGTAAAGGATCCATGGATTAGCCAACTTCCCTAACTGTAAATTAGCTTCGATTTAACTGTTTCTGGCTCAATATCCGATTCCTCAGCGTAAAACTTTAACTCTTAGCAATTAGAAACGACTTGGTAGAAATGTAAATAGGACGATTTGACTCTTTGAACCACATGTGATGGCGAAAGTGCTTGAAGTTGTCTAGAGAAATTTGATTAGATTTAAAAACCTTATAAATTTACCTCGAATTGTCAAGTTAGGTACTTGAAAAACATTTCGGTAGCTGTCAATATTGATTACAGTCTGGCACTAAATTTGCTTCAAAACGGAGCCAAATCTGAGCATTTCCGCGACCGTTCGAGAATTGTACCTGTCCCATATCTGACAGTGCACCTCATCCACGTCTATGATCACAAAAAAATTAAAACGCTATTTTGCGTCAGTTGTGATCATATCTTGCATCCGTTCATTATGCTTGCATATACATTAAAATCCTAACCTCCACAGTTTTCACGTCGTCACGTTGTTACCCATGATTTTTTGAGTTGAACTGTAGCTGTATATATAATGCTAGGAATGCTAACTGGCGTTAAGGCATCGGTAGTGACATTTTCTTAACCATTTCGACCCACTGATTATCATCAAGGGTAAGAAAGTCGTAGGTCGGCGCAGTGATTCCTAGTGCAGCTTTTGTAGCATGATACTTTCGATTCCAAAATGTATCTTAGTAAGCAGACAGGATTATTTAGTTAACTATGAAGACTTGACCGAAATGCCACACTTCATGGGCAAGGGTGTATTCCAGCAATGTTCGTATTTTAGGAAAATATGAATTAATTACCAGAGAACATTGGGTCGTGCAGTATTAGCAACAAACAAAAGTACGTTTAAAAAGTTAGATTTGCTGATGAAAGGAAGGCAAAAACTCTTGCCGATAAGTGGCCTGGTGATCACAAGTATCTGCTGAATAAATGATACTTTCATGATTGAATACTGGAGCATATTATGTTTGTGTGTAAAATCACCTTAAAAAGGCATCATATGCAACATGGAGCAGCGTTTGCCGAAGCCTAATATGGCCAAGACATCGAGGTACACTCCTAATTGCATTGAAAAACTGCATTGGAGGAGGATTGTGCAGTTAAGATGCCAGTAAGTCACACTCCAGCTCCATTTCGCTTCTCATATTCAACAATCAATCAAATATGAATGTCTGAATAAATTGCCAGAATAATGTGACGACGTTCCTTGATAGATTAATATTTCTCAGACTTTGAAACGCTCTGGCCAGTGATATAAACTTTATTCTAATGCGAGGTAAAGGCGCTGTTATTTTGCCTCATAACAAAAGCAGCACAATGTTGTGATCTCTAGACAGTGAATCAGTTAGAACGTAATAGTTCTAAATGATAACAGCTGGCAAATAAATGTGTGTTTATTGATCCGTTTCGGACACTTTGAATCAAGTCGAATATAACATACCCGTGTCATACCCGTGTTTATTTAGCCAAAGCCATATGTGTAGTTTGTTGTAGGAGCTGAATGCTGGCAGGTGTGAACATATGGCTGAGAGAATTCATATGAAACAGAATAATCAGGAATGAAGGCATAAAAGGGTTAGCGTCCAGGTGCAAAGGATAAACAATCAAAGGCGTCATATGGTTGTAATATGACACTGATCATAACTAGGCATTGGTTGACAAGAGGTATTGCCTAAAAGACAGATTTTGCAAACTTATTATCAATCAAATAAAAACAGACTAGGAGGCTGTCTCCGAAAATTGGCAAAAATGCTACATAAATGACAACGGCATACATATATTATCCATGATTGCAACAAATCAAATGACAGCGAGACCTGTTAAATACTGCATTCGACACAGATTCGCGTGAATACGTTTTTGTCAAA